CTGAATATAGGAAGCTACTTCCTTCTGCAACACCGATAACATCACCGGTTCGAGCTGCTGTCATGCCACCAGTTTGTATATAGAATGCGGCCATTTGGAATTTGACAGGACGCTGAGGCCTGAAACGAGTCCCTTCAAAGACGGGATCATCCTTGATGAGATCATGAATATGCCAGAAGGCAGCACGGGACATGCTATTGAAGGGACTGTGAGTGATTTCATCCTCACCTGGGTCTTATCCTAGCTCACCGCATCCAGCTTCGAAACCGACGTTCGCTGAAGCCTTCCAGCAGAAGCTGAAAGAACTCCTCAACTTGAGGTGCCTTGTATGGACCCCTTCTACCCCAACGGCCACCGCGTTCATAGTTCTTTTTGGTGTTGATGGACAGGACAAGCATGGCTGCAGCGTCCAGCTCATCCATCTCGTCTTCTGCTTCTGCAAACATTCCGCATGTGACAGCAAATAGCCGCTTCCAATAAGGGATGCTTTTGTTGGCTTTGCTCCGGCGAACATGGACGCGTGTTCGGGCCATGGTCAGTGAGACAGAACGCGACCGCGTCGACCGCGCTGAACGCGACGCAAATTTCGCGCGGAGCTCTAATTGCCACGAGCGTCAACGCAGCTCACGTGTCAATGCCGACTCGGCCAGTGACGTCATTGACAGATGGCATCACACGCTCTCAAGCTCATTCACTCATGCGCACCGGAAATCGACGACCGGAAATCCATTATTGAGTAGGACTTATATGACCGGACGGATCAAACAGAGGTTGTGTGAAAAAGCAGATATTGCTTTCCTTACGTAATGGTCATCATAGGCCCAAGCTGGATCATGATTGTCGATTTCAGCTTTCAGAGTCCTCAAACCGAGTGAGAGGAGTGTGATATTGCTCATTCTTTTGACGACCCACAACCCGACCCATCATACTTTTGTTGAACCTGGTGCTGTCGATACTGAATTGTTGGCTTGGCCGTTCGGTGAACATGCACCTCGTCACGATGTTTACTCAATATGATCGCCCTCCGATAGTGTATCGAGTGATGAACGACGAGCACGGCCCTGGCGTCCCTGGAAGGAAGGAGCCCAGAATCCTTGCGTGGCAAGGGAGCGCGTATGCCGACGAGCAAATGCGCTATGAGCAGCATGTGCGCTGTAAGTGTGCTGAGCCTGACAACAAGGTCTTCAGGTTCATCGCCGGCCTTGACTAGACAGACTCGTCGCGTGTATATAACGCCATTCGCTTGACCTCATGACGATTCGAGAGTCGCATCGCGGCCGGCAATGGGGTTACTCACACTGAGGATTACTCAGATCGTGCGATTGCGGACACATATAAGAACGATGACGTGTGTTCGCAGATCAACTTACACGTTCACCATCCCTATATCTGCTCAGATGGCGAAGAAAGTGACGATCGTAGGCGGGCATGGCAAGGTGAGCCATACCACGTCCTGTGCTACGATCAATATCTCTGATCTGACTTTCCACGACCGCAGGTCTCCCTCCGCCTCACAAAACTGCTCGCGGGTGCACAGAAGTACAGCGTGACCTCCATCATCCGCGACGCGACCCAAGCATCCGACATCCTCGCCGCCGATCCCTCCGCGACTGCGGTCGTCCTCTCCCTAGAAGACTCTCCCGTCTCCGAATTCGCGGAGACCTTCCAGGGTCAGGACGTCGTCGTCTGGAGCGCCGGCGCGGGCGGCAAAGGCGGAGAGGAGCGAACGAAGAAGGTCGACTTTGAGGGCGCGGTGAAGGTGTTCGACGCGATCGAGCAGGTGCAGGGCCCGAAGCCGAGACTGATCCTGGTGTCCGCTGTCGACATCCGCAATCCGGACGTCATCCCTGCACACTACGTGAGTCGCCCCTTTGCCACCCGCGGGGCTTCTGCTGAACGAATCGCATAGACTGAAGAGGATATCGCCCTCTCTAAACGCGTGCGCGGCGCCATCTCCGCGTACATGCATTGGAAGTACGAGGCAGATAAGAACCTTGTGGCTCGTACCGCGTTCGGATGGACGATCCTCCGTCCCGGAGGGCTCACGGACGTTCCCGGCACAGGCAAAGCCTCGATCGGCCGTACACATCTAAGCCCTACTATCTCGGTGCGCCTCGCAGGATAACTAATCGAAATCGCTCTCTGACGTTATCCCTTGCGATCGCAGAGAGACGATGTAGCGCGTGTGTTAGCTCTGCTGATTGACAGGCCGGACGCGAGCGGACTGGCGATCGACCTCGTCGGGGGCGAAACACCCATCGAAGAGGCTCTCGACGCCTTCATCAAGAAGGGCGAAACTGATTGGCTGGGTTGAGGACGCAGTCGGGAATCATAAAAATAAACATCCAGAATCCTGTAACAGTATCAATGGTGATCGTTAGTATGCCGATACCGACGCAGACTACTCGGTATCGATGACGCTATACGCAATAAAGTGTACATGTAGTGTTCCATGCAATTCAGGGAGGTTGACGAGAGAAACGTCGATCAGGCCATTTGTGAGCGGAGGCCAGCTTTGGGCGGCCATACACCGGAGGGATTGCTCAATGTGAATTGATATTCCCAGCTGGATGGCAATGGAAACGGGGTACGCCACTTCATGAGGCTCCGGAGAGATGGCATACGTAAAGAAAAAACTTGCCACGCTCTATGTAGCAGAGTGACTCATTGCTGTGTTCTGTAGGAACGAGACGAGTGCTCTCAGTAGTCTAAGTGGACATACTTCTATGTCCTCGGCGTCAGTTCAATATGTCGGCCCTGAGTGACGAACTCGGTCAGCGGAGTGTAACCAGGATCGCGGTGTGCGATAGAAGTACAGAAGAGAGTAGCATATCGCGGCGAAGATAAGGTGTTGATGCATCTCCACACGCTCGAGAAGCCATCCTCTCTGAGACAGGTTCGGAGACGTAATACAAGAATGTCCAAGGCTAAACGGAACAAATGGGAGGAATCAGCCTGTGAATGTGTGCTACAAAATGCAACGAGGTGCATACGCCCCTTCCGCAGCTGGAACCCGGCAGCAGAGTTCTTGATGTTTTCTTCTAGTTCAGGGCCAAACGGAAGGCGAGTCGCTGCAACCGTGCAATTGGTCCCGTAGCCATGAGCAACTTCACGACCTCCGCACATCACCGGCCAGCGACTCACCCCGGTCAATAGAGCGGAATAACTAAACCGCCCGAGTATAGACCGATTCCAGATGGGGTATCTGAAAAGCCTATGCAGTGTGCCACGACGCTGGCTCGGGATTACGATTACGATAGCCTCTTTGTTACGCCGTCATGAACTCGTCTCGTATTGATGAATTTGGAGCCGCATATAGCCAAGCTAGAAATGGCGTGCACCGTAGACTACCGTAGATGACCTCGCTCCCGAAGCAATGAATCGAGGTGGTCGGTCCTTCATTTCCGTTGACCTGAAAGTTCACTAACCCTCAGTAAAGTTGAGCTTGCGTTGACGTCGGTCAGTTGCATAGACGTTGACGCAGGTCGAAGCGAAGGCAGAAGCTGCGGGAGAGAGAGCGCGGATAGGATCTAAGGGATCCACGACGCCACCAGACAAAAACGGACAATGTCCGGGAGAACTCTGGGGCTTCCAATCTGACAGAGAGTCACGGCTTGGCCTGGGGAGACCGGTGAAACGCTGAACAATGGGCCCGCACGCCACGATGGAATCAATTCGAAAGTCAAGCAACGGCTGCCATGCGCCATACAAGCTTACGCCATACAAGCTTGAGGAGAGCAGAGTGCAGAGGAGTTGGTTTAAAGTGGGATCATAGCATGCCGAGGATCATTGGAACGTCGCGCTGACAGTGCGCTGGACAGGAGCCACCCGCCGACACAGGGGCCGGCAACGCGCGGCAACCCCGATATTTCTCACGGACTACTCCCTCCTCTGCCTGCCTGCAATTTTCTCCCTCTGAAAGTTGTCAGTTTCTGAGTCACTGGGAATCATTGTAACTGTGCCTCAAGGCCATCATTATCCAGCGATTCCTCGAGTTCGATGTGCATGACCATCTCGATATTCTCGAACGTTTTGCTGTATCGTCTACACTCAGCTTGTATTATGTGGTATCCGTATCAAGACCGGCCCTATAAGTCGCGGGATCAACGTGCTATGCAAAACAATTCGGCTCCCAATATTGGGTTCATGACCCGGTACTACAGGCCCTGTGCGGCAATTATATGCTACACCTAAAAAGCCAACAATATGCGACTAAAGCTGTGGCATCCCATATCCGCGTAAAGGTCTCGTTAGTACCTCGTATCCGTATGGTATAATATATTGGGGTGAAGCGTGCGACTCAACGAGCGCTACGGAGGTATTCCCGGTGAAGGAGAGGAAGGATCTATAGCCTACGACATTGCCCCAACTCCCGTTGTCCGTATATGCGCATCACGGAAAGCTTCACGAAGCAAGGTCGCGCGTCCTGCTGGCGCCGCGGCAAAACTGGACGCGGTGCTAACCACGCAAGGTACGCCTTCGTCCTCAGGCAACGCCGATAGAGATTTGCTCCGCAATCGCGTCAAACTTTGCGGTATGATGCTGGGAGGAGCGGCCTGGACATCGAGTTTCCGCCGCGCCCTTTTGCTCCACGTATGGTAAAGACTTGAACCAGCTGAAGGTGGTGTAGCGGGCGACGGACTTGCCGTGACGTGTACGGGGGTCAGGGAGTATAAGCATGGGTATGATGTAGACGCTCTCTCCGTGTTCACAGACAAGCCGCGTTCGCGGGCTTTGGCGGTGTATCTGGGGGAGCGAGAGGGTCCGGCTTGCGATATGAATATGGGCTTGGGAACGGAAAGCGTTGGACTCCTGGACAACCGCGAAAGCGTAGGGCTCCTAGACAGTCGGGAGATAGCTGACGATCTGTCGCGCGAGTGCGCCGTCCATGACGGACTTCGGGCGGGGCGAGGAGAGCTGCAAGCTCCCGCCCCGGTCAGCATCATCGGATACACTAGGTCGTCTGCGCTGATACGCTGTTTGTAGGTTTCAGGAAGCGGCGACGAACAACGCCAGGATGACTGATCAACGAATGAAGGAGGTCGGTAAAACGGGGGAAGGGAACGACGGTAGGGACGCGAGGCGTAAATGTCTTGGAAGTTACGTTCGCTCAAATGATTGGTGCTTGGCCCGCTGGACGTAAGCCAGACGAGAGCCGCGCCGGATATGGCGACCTGAGGAATCAGACGGTTAAAACAAGCACCCTGACGAAGACTTTCACGAGAGTCGTACATCACCGCTGCATATCACAAGACAGAGCCATCCCGGTTCGGCACCTTGAAGAGCCACCATGACGGAGCCGTTCGCGATGAGAGTGGCGGCCTCGATGAGGGTGAATATGAGAGTTCTTCGCAGTATTGCTCGTAAGTCAGGGCTTATGGTTTCCCGCTTCCGCCTGAGCCACCACACGAGGACCCAGACGATCCAAATGTCGATCAAGCCTCTTGCAGGTGGGCCGACGGTGGAGAGTATGCGACCGAATCCAATGATACATGTCGAATCCAGTCGTAAGTACGACACTCGGAGGATGCTCAGGACCGCGGCGAGCGCGAGGTATGCGACGAATATGATGATGTACATGCGGTACAGCGTCGATGCTAGACGCTGCTTGTCTCGGAAAGCCTTCCATAATGTGTACATCCTTTCAAGCAGGAACAGGTATTCGAATATCTATGTAGTCAGACCATGTCAGCGTGAAGATTTGTGCCCGTGAAAAGAAACGAGATCTGACTTTACTCCACAGATATAAGACAATGCATACGTACACGCCCAGAGTGCAGTTCGCCAGGTCGGTTGACAAGCCTGCCCCGAAAATCATGTACGCTGATCCAAAGGCGCACAGCCAGGACAGAACCAAGTCCCCCATAACCAACACCCTGGTAGCCTTGTTGGATGACCATGAGCGCCATGACCATGGCCCAAACGGGAACTCGAGAGGGCGTCGAGCTAAGCAAAACGACAAGACGGACATGCTCAAGAGCAAAAGGAGGCAGACGGTATTCCTCAAGATGGCGGAAGGGAACCTAGTAGCTGGCCCATCCATAGCCTCTCACCGGGCGGAGTGCGAGAGCAGGCGCGAACGGGACAAGGGAAATCAAGAGAAAGGCGTTCTAGCAAGGGCTGCGCTTCGCGAGGGTCTTTGCTAGTCTGAAACTGGGTGGAGTGACTCGCCGATTGATGAGTGACATCTCGCGAGCGGACAGCTGGCGAAGGCGATTAACGAGCTTTTGGGAGATCGGGCAGCGCGGCGATGTGCGGATGTCATCGGCGTGCCACGCTCGTAGCATTAATCAAGCAGAAGTGCGTGCGGATCCGGGTTGGCAACAGAACATGTCGATTCACTTACCAAGAAGAGCGAAGCGGAGACCCCACATGCGTTCCTCAATGACGCGGCGTCTCATCCAGCCTACATGGATCCGTGTAAGAGAAGATTGCTGGATGATTGGAGCACACAGACCTTCCAACAACGTCGGTGTAGGTTAGCGATGGTTAGCGATGGTCGGAGGTTCCGTACCTCTCGGACAAACGCCGCAATGGATGAGGTCAATTCGCGAGTTGACGCCGCTGGCTCGGTTTGCGTGCCGAAACTCGGATTGCCAAAGCTCCGCTTCATTACACCGGGCGTCAATCGTACTACGTGAGATACACTTCAATTTGGCCGCCACTGATGTTCGCCTGGAATAGATAGACGTGCGCGGTCGGAAGTACGACAACGGAGGCGGCAATACATTCGTCAGAGGAGCTTGAGGTTCTCCGTCACAGTCAAACGAGGGGGCGAGTTGGACACTTATACTCGGCAAACCGGCAGCGCGGTACCTACCATTGCATAGTCAATCTCACATACAGCGAAAAGATCGTCTTACGGCAGATGATTGTATGTTTGCTGCCCGGCGGTGACCTTACGTTGTGGGTGAAGTTCGTTCGGACCCGCGCCGACGATGCTTCCATCACGGCTGAGATGCTCGATAGAATTCTTGTGCTGAAGGAAACTATCAGCGGCCCGATGTGAGGCGATAGCGATTGTAGCAAACGTACCAGAAACAGTCTGCGGTAGAAGCAAGTCACAAGCAATTCATCGGGTGGGGTTGTTCGACTGCGAATTGGAGGTGTCTCGCGTTTATAGCGTTTTGAGTGCCGAATGTGATCATAGAGGATGGAATATTGATGGAATTAGCGGCTGAGCAGCCCATACTGTCGTCCACGACCTCACAGCGAGTCGCCTCCTGGATCACCATCGTCTCCTCAGAAGCATGTAGGAGCAAATCGTCCATAACCTCCCCGGAGGCTTTAGACTGCGTTCATGATCGCGAATGCGCGATGAGGAGGAAGTAAGTAGGTAGCGTAAACGCGCTGAAGTGACTGGTCCATTACAAAGGTCAACAATATATTTACCCACGGTCCTTGACCAATCTAGTCGCGTTACTAACGCCACGACTGCTGCACGCTTCAGCGCAGCCGCGATCCGCTATATTGCCTATACCCTCGCGAATATAACTGCGGACTGTGCCTTCTTACAAGACATCTGGCGAGAGCGTTCTATGTCTGATATCCCACTGCATATACTCGGACGAAAATACGGATCTAAAGTCGCGGCATACTCTGCTCTTCCTGGTGACGACGGACTGGACGGCGGTCCTTCTACTGCTTCTAACGAACTCGCCAAGGGGGGACGTAACAACAACGCACAGAGAACTATGCCTATGAGCGCGCGTGCTGCAGCAATAGCCTCGGGATCGCGGCGGAAGAGGGGCAACGAGCGGTACGCCGATGACCCGGAGGAGCAAGCTGGACTGCTGGCCGATGAGGGTGAAGAGAGTGAGGGGGCCTATAGAGAAGATCCGGACCAGGAGGCGAGATCAGTGGAGGAACAACCTGTGAGTAGATCCTGCGCGTTATTGGCGTCGTACTGACAGCCGGGTCCAGCGACCTCCGTCGAGACGCAGTCAATTGAGCAGTAAGGAGAAGGGGAAGGACAAATCGCGAACAGTTCCGTTTCGTCCACCAGGTCCGTGTACCATGTAATGTAATACTCAAACCATATCTGAACTCGTCGTAGACAAGCTGCAGTCACGTTTCCCCCCGAACATCGTTCGGAACCAGAAATATAACGCGTTCACGTTTCTCCCCATCGTATTCTACGAGCAGTTCAAGTTCTTCTTCAACCTATACTTTCTTCTCGTCGCATTATCACAATTCGTACCTGCATTGAAGATCGGTATGCGTCCATCTTGCATATACTCTACGTCCCGTTCCTAACCGTGCTCGGTAGGCTTCATCGCGACCTATGTCGCTCCCCTCGCGTTTGTCCTTGTTGTAACGATGGGCAAAGAGGCGTACGACGACTATTGCCGTTACCTCCGAGATCGCGAAGCGAATTCCACTAAATACTCCATCCTCGCACCACCCTCATCCTCTTCCGCATCACACGTAACCTCTCCCATACCGTTTCCTATGTCCGCCCTCCAATCGGTCCCATCATCCGCACTACGCGTGGGCGACCTCCTGTTACTCGAGAAGAACCAGCGTGTACCGGCGGATATGGTCTTATTGCGCACTAGTGACGCGTCGGGAACCTGCTTCATTCGCACGGACCAGCTAGACGGAGAGACAGACTGGAAGCTACGCGTCGCGGTACCTGCTACCCAAGCTTTACCCAGTGACGAGGCCCTTCTAAGTCTCGAAGGCGAAGTCTATGGTCAGTTTTTACCCTTTCTCGCCCTGACCAAGGTCGTGACCGCTGACGCATTACGCGCTCATCGCAGCCGATCCACCCATCAAGGACATACACACATTCATCGGAACCTTTACGGTTAACACGCCAGCATCCCAGTCCTCTAGCGCCTTCCACCCTCGCGCTCCAAGCACAAGGCATTCGTCCAACTCGCGACAATCGGAGGACACCCGCGAAGATGATGTCCCATTGGTGCCAGTCCCTCAGATATCTCCTTTGACTGCGGAAAACCTTCTATGGGCGAACACGGTCTTGGCAGCAGGATCGGCCATTGGCCTAGTAATTTACACCGGTCCAGAGACTAGGGCAGTCATGAACACGAGCCATCCAAAGACGAAGGTCGGGCTGCTAGATATTGAGATTAATCGACTTGCGAAGGCAAGCGAAGTCCTAACGGGTATATTAGGCTAAGATGAGCTGACAGGATTGGCGCAGATTCTTTGCGCTGTGACGTTCGCCCTATCGCTGGTACTTGTTGCGCTAAACGGTTTCCGGGGATTGTGGTACATTTACGTTTTCCGATTTCTCATTCTCTTCTCGTCCATCATCCCTATCAGGTGCGTCCCGGAACCGTGTGCAGGTCGAACGATATCGCTCAACGCTGTCTCAGCCTTCGCGTCAATCTCGATATGGGGAAGACCGTCTATGCACAACAGATCCAGAACGACCCCGAGATCCCGGGCACCATCGTGCGCACTAGCACGTTACCGGAAGAGCTTGGGCGGATCGAATACCTGCTGAGCGACAAAACGGGAACATTGACTCAGAATGGTGGGTCCCTGCTCTGCTTACAAGTTATGGCCGCGCTCATATATGTTCCCGATGAATAGAGATGGAGATGAAGAAACTGCACATGGGGACCATGTCCTACGGTTTCGACTCCATGGATGAAGTTGCACATCAACTGGCAACGGCCTTCGGAGGCGTTGAGGACGCAGGTCCGAACCGACCAGACATCCACATGCGTCAAAGGACAATCCAGCTTACGACCTGATTTAGGACACAAGCGACACGGATCCACTGTCACGGGTATTCAGTTGGCGACACGAGGCCGACGAGATATGTCTTCCCGAGTCCGGGACGTTGTCCTCAGTTTGGCACTCTGTCATAATGTAGGCATGGCTTCTGCTTCCATTCAGCTTGGTTATGACGTCCACCGCAGGTCACACCAGTCACCAACGACGATGGCACCGTCACTTACCAAGCGTCATCTCCTGATGAGGTCGCGATCGTCCAGTGGACGGCATCCATCGGCCTGACGCTCGTCTTCCGAGATCGTACCCGAATAGAGCTGCAGAACCCTGCGGGCGCCCGTATGGCATTCGAAGTCCTCGAGCTCTTCCCCTTCAGCTCCGAGTCGAAGCGAATGGGAATCGTGGTTCGCGAAGAGTCCACCGGCGAGATCACCTTCATACAGAAGGGGGCCGATGTCGTCATGGCCAAGATCGTGCAGCGGAACGACTGGCTCGAGGAAGAATGCGGTAACATGGCCCGAGAAGGTCTGCGAACACTCGTTGTAGGTCGAAAGCGCATGAGCGACCAGGCGTACGAGGAATTCAAGCGAAGTTACCATGAGGCGAGCGTGCAGCTGGAAGGTCGGAACGAGGCGATGGCGGCGGTTGTGGCTGACGCGCTTGAGCGGGATCTCGAACTTCTGGGTCTGACCGGCGTCGAAGACAAGCTACAGGAGGACGTCAAATCAACACTGGAACTGCTTCGCAATGCAGGAATCAAAATCTGGATGCTGACTGGTGACAAGATCGAGACCGCGACCTGCATTGCTATTTCTACGAAACTTGTCGCGAGGAATCAGTACATCCACCAGGTTGCGAAGCGTACGTCCGCAGTGTTCTCTTCGATAGCACAGTGTTAATGCTCCTTTCAGTCAAGACGCCGGAGGAAGTCCGTCACCAACTGGAGTTTCTCCAGTCCAAGCTGAATTGCTGCCTCGTTATTGATGGCGAATCCCTTCAGGTGATTGCGCATATATTCGCATGCTCCCGGGTCGGCCTGACCAGCTACAATCCAGCTGTGCTTGAACCTGTTTCAGAATGAATTCGTGGAGATCGCCACGAAGCTTTCCGCTGTGGTGGCCTGCCGTTGCTCACCAACGCAAAAAGCTGACGTGGCTCGGTTGATTCGGAGGCATACCAAGAAACGGGTATGTTGCATTGGTGACGGAGGGAACGACGTCAGCATGATTCAAGCAGCGGACGTTGGTAAGTGTTTCTACGTACGATATATCTGCCCTATCCTCATCCTTTCCTCCAAAGGCGTCGGAATCGTCGGGAAAGAGGGCAAGCAAGCATCCTTGGCCGCCGATTTCTCGGTTACCCAGTTCAGTTTCCTCACCAAACTCCTCATGTGGCACGGTCGCAACTCGTATCGACGCTCGGCAAAACTGGCGCAGTTCGTCATCCACCGCGGCCTCATCATCTCCGTCATGCAAGCCGTCTTTTCCGCCATATTCTATTTTGCTCCAATCGCATTGTACCAGGGCTGGCTCATGGCCGGATACGCGACAGTATATACCATGGCGCCGGTCTTCTCCCTTGTCCTGGATAGGGATGTCAACGAAGACCTGGCATTGTTATACCCCGAACTATACAAAGAACTCACCAAGGTCAGTAGGCACTTTGTTTACTCAGAAGCGATACTCACAGAAGGTACAGGGCCGAGCTCTGTCGTATAAGACGTTCTTTATGTGGCTGATGATCAGCGTATACCAAGGTACGTTGGCCGAAGCTTCCCCGGGAACGCTTGCTGACCTCATGCGTTGTCAGGCGCTGCCATCATGATCATGTCCTTAGTGCTATTCGAGAACGAATTTCTGAACATCGTTGCGATTTCCTTCACGGCGCTCATCCTCAACGAGCTCATCATGGTCGCGTTGGAGATCACTACATGGTCAGTTACTCCGTTCGTCGATCGACTGCGCACTCACCCACCTCTCGAACAGGCATATGTACATGGCAATATCAGAAGTCGCGACTCTAATCCTATACGCTGTCAGCATCATCTTCCTTCCGGAATACTTTGGTATGTGCCATCAACGTCAGTTTCGTTTCTCTGTCTGACCACAATCCCCAGATCTCAGCTTCGTGGTTTCCGTGCGGTTCGCATGGAAGGTCGCGGTGATCGTGGCCGTCAGCGCACTTCCGTTGTACATTATCAAGCTCATCAAGAGCCGCGTCGCCCCCGCGGCATACAGTAAACTGTTGTAATGTAGCTTAAACTCGCGAGCCAAATCTTTCAAGCCTTATTCCTTTTCTTTTATCTCGTGAGGCAATCAGCCTGTCAGAGTCGACTGGAGTACAAGCGATGCGATGCGATACGTGAAGTTCGGGCATCTCGCAGCGAGTTACGATAGCAACGGGATGGGGTTATACGATGACAGGGAAAAGAAGAGAAATGCTACGATGCGAATAAGCTAATTGCCGTGATGAGGTGGAGAGGGTGTGAATGGGGTAGAATTAGGGAAAATCGATGTAGGATGCCAGTCCGGGTGCGGGGTCGCGTTGCCCCACATGCCAGGCGGCGGTCGAGGGCCGCCAAAGCCTGGGGGTGCAGCGGGACTCCATGGTACACGAGAAACACCGTCTCCAATGGGAGGCGCGCCGATCGGGCCAGGGGCAGCGCCCCAGCCCTGTCCAACCGCACTCGGGGGAGCTCGCCGAGCGGGTCCCACCACCTCGTCATCGTCTGCGATCAGCGCAGACGAGCCGAGGACGCCCTTCGGGCTGGGAGACCGCCTGACGGGTGAACCGGAGCCTGATCGGTTGGCCATCTCTGCGGAAGGACGGGCAATCGGCGCGGGAATCGGGCGCGATGCGGGCGGGGGGCCGATGGGACCAGGACCCTGCGGAAGCGGTACAGACATGCGTCGCGCACTGGGACCAGGCGCGCCACTTCCTGGAGCCATACCCATGGGTGTCTGCGGGGGGCCAATCGGCGCTATGGGTCCACCGGGTGCCTTCGACGGAGGAGCAATCGGGCCGGGAGGAGGGCCAGGCGCTGGCGCTACCACGCCGCGAGCGTACGGCGGGTCGGGGCCGAAGGGCGGCATTGGCCCTGGAGGTCCGAAGTTGCGCGGGCCCAAAGGTCCAGGGGAAGGGAGGGTAGGAAGTGACTGGCTTATAGGAAACGCGCCGAACGCGGGAGGTGGGGTGTACGGCATCCTCGGCGGCATTCCGGAGCTAGAGGGCGCGACGCCCTCAGGCGAGTAGATCGGAGTCGAGGGGTGCGGGGCGAGCTGGGGAACTTGAGGGGTGATGGGCGTCGGAGGTGTCGAGTTGGTGACGACAACAGGGCGGGGCTGCTGATGGCGAGGAGGCTGCACAGGCGTGTTCAGAGTGCTGGGACCGGCCGAGTTCGCCTTGCTGAGGATCTTCTTGGGAGCCACAGGGGCAGTGGGTGAACGGGGCTGTGATGTCGACGGACCGGCGACAGCCCGAGGAGACGTAGGCTGGCGGTTGGCCGCATTCTGCTTCCGCTGCTGCTGCTGCTGTGCCGCACGCTCGCGCTCGCGCTGCTCCTTGGCCTCCTTCTCCGCCTTCTCCTTGGCCTCCCGTTCCTCCTTCTCCTTCGCCAACTGTCGTTCCCTCGCCTCCCTCGCCTCCTTCTCCTTCTGCTCCTTCTCCCGCTTGACTGCCGCGGCCGCGGCCGCCTTCTCCGCCCGTTCCGCCCTCTCCTTGGCCTCGCGTTCCTCCTTGGCCTTACGCTCCTTCTCCTCACGTTCGCGTCGCTCCGCCTTGGCCTTCTCCTCCTTCTCCTTCCGCTTCCGCTCCTGCTCGGCCTGTCTTTCCTTCTCCTCCGCAATCCGCTTCCGCTTCTCCTCTTCCTTCCGCTGCCTCTCCTCTTCCGCTGCCTTCCGCGCCGCCTCACGCTTCGCCCGCTCCTCCTCACGCTTCTTGCGCTGCTCTTCCTCGATGGCCGCTTGCTTCGCACGCAGAGCAGCTTCTTCCGCTGCCTTCTCCGCTGCCCTAGCAGCGCGCTCCTCCTCCTTCGCAAGCTTCTGCTGACTACGTATCCGCAAACGAGGGTGGATCAGTTTCCAGATAGCCAGGATAGATAACGACGGGTACGCACCGCTTTTTGTCCTTCTTCTTCTGGGACTGCGACTGCTTCTTCATGTCCTTCTCCTTCGCCGCCTTGTCCTCATCCTCCAACTCCCTCAACAACTGCAGCTGCTTCTCCTGCGCCATCTTCTCCCTGTATGCCTGCAGCACCCGCTGCTCGAACATGCGCGCGGCGAAGATGGAGAACATGCGTTTACCCTCCTCCATCTTCTGTTGCTCGGTCATAACCTGCAGATACGTGAGCTGGTGTGTCGAAGTATGAAGCGTCCGTTCACGAACCTCCTCTTCCTCATCGTCTTCGTCGTCTTCGTCATCCTCGTCATCCTCATCGTCAAGGTCGTCCTCGTCGTCCTCATCCTCGCTGTCATCCTCGATGTCTGCGGCTGCCTCCTCCTCCCTCTGCATCCGGCGTTCAGCGAGCTGCTCCATCATCTCCAAGAACTTCTGCCCATCGTTCTTCAGAAGGTCATCCGCGACCGTCAGTATATTGCCTATCCCTAGGCAATTAACACCATCGACAGCGAATTTCGAAGATGAGCCTTACCAGTGACAGTGAGGCTGTTACCGAAGTTGAACAGCCCGTCTCCCCCAGCCTTCCCTTCCGGTTGTCGACGACTTCGAGGCGGCGGTGCCGCTGCCCGACGCCCCCGACTCTTGACCTCCTCCTCCTCCTCGTCCAGATCCTCCTCCTCCTCCTCATCCTCCTCGTCCTCCTCCTCTTCGTCCTCGTACTCGTCATCATAGTCTTCGTCAGGGTCATCCTCCTCGAACTCGCTCTCCGGCTTCACCGGCTTCCGCCCGTTCACCGCCGTCGTGGTCTTCCGCGGCGACGCGATGACGGGCTTGTGCGGATCGACCGGAGCCCCGTTCTTGTCCAGCACGACGCTCCCCGGAAAGGGCCCCGGACCCGGTGGTGGAGGGAGGGTGCCGCCGGACGAGACGTATCGCTGCTGGTAGTTCGCGTACTGCTCTAGCTCATCGTAATAAGCTTCGTACAGTACCTCGAGCTCTTCTTCTATCGCATTCCTGTTGGCGCACGATCGGACGATCACGGATCGCGACGGGGATGGACATGGACGATGGTTCCGATCAAAGCGTCAGCACAAGGGTCCGCACGAGACCAACAACGACGGATGACGAACCGCTTCCGGCCGCACACGGCGCAGCTACAGCTGTGCTTCTGCTGCTCCTTCATCTTCTTCAGGACGGCCTCCTTCTCCACCTTGACCAGATCCCGGCGCTCCTCCTCGCGCAGACCGAGCCAGAACTCCTTGATGCGCTCGCGCTCCTGGGCCGAGTTGGTGTTCCATATCTTGGAGTTGTTCGCCTTGGATGAGCTCTGATTGGCCTGGGCGTTCCGGGTCTTGTTGTGGCCCGATGCGTTCGAGCTCGGCGGGGACGGGTGGTGGTGGGGATGGTTGTGATACGCGTTCGGGTGCGCGGGGGCCTTGGAGGCGGCCCTGGCCGTGCGGGCGGGCGGCGGCGGGTTGGCGGCCGGGGCGGGTGTCTGGGCATAGTTCATCGGCTGTTTGCCCGCCGCGCGCGAGCTCGGGGGAGGATTGGCGGTCGTCGCGGGCGGTCGTGCAGGCGCCGGCATCGTCTGAGGATGAGCATCCCTTGTGACAAATTCTTGGGTCACAGGCGAGGGCATCGTGGGAACAAGCGGCGGAGTTGCGTTCGGCGCGGCGTCTGCCGGAGGCGCGGTCTGTCCTCCCGCCGCCGTCCCGCCGCCGTTCTTCCCCTTCTTTTTCTTCTTTTTCTTGTTGGCCCGCCCCCCGCCCGGCGACGGCTGCGCACCGGGGACGCCGCGGTCCACGCCGTTGTGGGTATGGCCAGCGGAGGGGTGGTGCGGAACCGTGCCTCGCGCAGGCGTGCCGTCGTATTCGACGTCGTGCTCGAACATGTCCTCCTCCAGCTCCTCGTCCTCCGTGTAGTAGTCGTCGTCCGGATAGTCTGCAGCATCGTCACCCATCTCAAATGTGTTCGAGAGCATGATGTCCAAGTAACCCGACACACCATGGGGAGGCAAGTGCCCGTGCTCGGCGAGCAGGCCCTGCGCCGCCGCCGCCTGCTCCACCGCGCGGTTGAAGGCCGGGTTGGAGAAGATGGCGGGATCGAACGGGAGCGAGCTCGGGTACGCGCCCGGCGGGTATCCCGGCGCGCCTTTCGTCGGGCTGCCGTTGCCGCCGCCGCCGCCTTCTGGAGAGCCGTGTGCGGCCTTGAGCCCGGACTGCACCATCTGCTGGGCGATGGCGTACATAGCCTGCGCCTTGATCGCGCTCTCGTCACCGGCTGTCATCGCGGACTGAGAACAGGTGGTCCGTACAAAGTTGCGTATGTGCGCGGGGAGCGCCGCCCAGTACTCGTCGTCGTCCGCCAGCCCCATCCCGCCCTCCGGGTCCGCGTCCATCCGCCGGTAGAGGTCGTCCGCCGTCGCGAGCAGCTCCGCCTGCGCCGCGGCCGCGCTCGCGCTGAGCTTTGCCGTGGCCGCGGCAGACGCGTTAAGGGAGGCGCTGGTAGAGAGGTGAACGGACTCGAGCTCCGGAGAGAGGCCCGTGCGCAGGGCCGGGCTCATCATGGGTTCGAGCGGCGGGGGCATATCTCCTTCATCGTCGTCCTCCTCCTCTTCCTCCGCAGGGTGAGATAGCCCGTTCGCCCCCTTCGACTTTTTCTTCTTTTTCTTCTTTTTGTTGGGCGATGTCCCGTCGACGACCTGCTGGGGCGGCTCCGGTGGCTTCTGCGCGGGCGGTGGAGCGGGCTGCTGCACCACGCGCGGGGGCCGCCGCAAGGGCCCATTCGCGTTAAGCTTGTACGGCTTCGTCGTCATGTCCAACGACGATGGGTCGATCGTGTGCAAGACCGGGTCGACCTGCGGATGTGCAGGCGCGCGACGCTTGAAGATCTATGGTGCTCCCCGAGCTGTGTGGCCGACGTCGCCGATGCCGAGAAACGGGCGGTGAAAGCGAAACCTGCTCGGGGTCGTGTGCAAGGATATTGGGGAATGTCGTGAGATGGACTGCAGAAGGAGATCGTTCGAGGAAAAGAGCACGGATGTGGGCACTGGGTCCGCACAGGCGAGTGAAGGGGCCGCACCGGCCTCGGATTTTGCCGATCGCTGATAACTCCTTATTCCAACCCTCTTACTTAAATTACCGCCGGCATCCATGTGTTTGACCAGCATCACCTCTCTTCGAGCCAATCTGAGATGCACGAAAAACTCCGGGCTGTCCGACGCGGATTCATCTTCTCCAGGTCAATATGCCTACTTCCGCCTTGCAAAAATTGTTAAGAATATTTTACCACCGATGCGGTACCGACGGTCTCCACTGCTCAAACACTCACGATCATGACTCGTTCAGCCTCTCTCCGAGACTGATCATGGTCGCGATCGAGCTTGGGCCGAGCCTCCTGCAAATAAAGCGATACTCAATGCGCGAAGAGAACACGCTTCCTCCCACTTGCATCTTCATGCAACCCCTCTATGATGTTCCCATCGATCAACGCCATTCATCGTGCTTTCTCCAAGTGCACATTGGAGATCTCCATCCCGAGCATGATCATGTCATCCGGCGGCATATATGCGGGCAGTGATACTAGACCGCGCCATGTTTCGGAAGGATCTGCCTACGCGGTGTACGCATACATCCAGGAAACGTGGATCAAGTCGGAGCTCGTAGCAGTTTAACTGGTACACATCGAGGAGACCATGGCTACGACGCATCGACAAGATATCTAACAAGGCGACAAGGTCGTCACACTCCGCCTCCGAATTCCCTCACGTTCATCGTCCGGTTCACGATTCTAGCAGTCAGGGTTGCAAGCCGGGCAAATCCCGATGCAATTCGGGGGCCTGAATCTACGTCAGCACAAGCGGGCGCTAAGTAAGGCCTCATTGGCGGTGAATGGAATGGAGGACTTAACACGGTCTCTTGGGAACCCAAATAGAACAGCAAGCCATAAGTACGTATATCGCGAGCACCGGGGATGGTCCAGCAGTGACTCATTCGCCATGCACCCTTCGTCAGGGTAGCCGAGTCGTCAACTGTCATGTTCATTGCAGATCCATGTCGGAATAACTGAATGGTGGCCGAAAGATGAAGGACAGCCTGATTCTGTGTTTCATGGAGCGATCCATTTCTTCCAGCAGATCTTCCAGAGCAATCATGGAGCGTCTGCGATGTTGATATGAGCCTGCGCATTTGCAACCCTGTGCAATCCGAGAAAATCGCGGTTCCGCGCCGTTCGGAGTGGCCCAAAGTGCAGCGCTTAACATACCTGTCCCGTCGGTGTCAAGGCTTAGCCCGGGTAATGTCGTTGGATGGAGTGAAGCGGCATAGCATAAGATGGAAGAATGGGCCTGCGGGCGGATAAAGGGGTAATCTGTAACCAGATCGCCGGGGTTCCACCCGCTATGTTATGCAACTTTGGGGGGGGGGGGGACTGCAGCTGCAGAGTATTTCATCCCAGCAGCTTCCTTGGGGATTCCAGTCTAAGAATACAGTATATCAAAGGCCATGGACGGTACAACGGCTTTAACACATTTATGATGAGATCAAGCATGACTTTGAGTAGGAACGCTGAGTGTTCAAGCTCAGTATTTGGACTAGCGTTGCCACTGAGAGACTGTCTGACCACTCTGGCAGAACATTGCGTAACGAGGCGAAAAGAGGGAGAAAATGCCGTCCGTGCGGTCGCGGGCACTGACTAGCATTGATAGTAACAGTGCCACGTGACTTATATACCGTGGCTGTCTCGACGCGACCGTGCACTGGCGTCGCTCGGTTTCCCCGAGATGGTCACCTCTCTCTCTTTGTTGCAAGATTCCTGCTACCATCCTGCCGACAAGCCTTTCATGTGCACTTGAACACAACAGATAAAGACTCGTCTAAGTGCAATCTCTCGATCAATTCATGATCGCGTGGTCGGAATACGTTATTGACCTCCGGGGTCCTTGTACCTGGATTCAATCGCCGTTGACCACAATATTCTCGTGAGTGCTTTGAGATCCGTGCTTATCCTACATCAAACTGAAGTAACCTTGATTATAGTCCCCTGCTTCACCTCGTGAAGAACTATGGACTTACGTCGAGCCTTGCTCTCGTGACCAACACCGTCTCGGAAGGGGTGACTATCGCCGATATACAAGGATACGGATGGCAGTCGCCTTACTCTGGAAAGGTCGTTAGAAATCTCTCAGGGACTGTTACCGCTCGAGTATGTTTTGTCGCCACCTTGTTGAACTCGGTGGACGCTGACGAACGCAGGGCCCCAACGGGCTTTGGTTAGCAGGTGACCCTGTTGAAGATCGCAGAGTGTCAACGGGACTGTACGTGTACAGCCCCGCTCTGTCCCGTCAAGCTTCCATAGGGGATGAGATATCGCTGTCGGGTCTCGTCACAGAATACAGAGCTTCGAACCGGCCATCCGACCTTTTCGTCACGGAGCTGGTGGAGCCGACCTCTCTTGAGTTTCTTTCGCGCAACAATGTTGTGGCACCTCTCGTCATTGGGGTAGACCGCGTCCCTCCGTCTGTGTCGCTTTCGGCGCTGGACGATGCTGCGGGGATAGACGGATGGCTAGCGGTACCCAACAATCAAAGCCTGCTCAGCGCGGCGAACGCCACCCTGCGTCCTGAGCTATACGGCCTCGATTTCTGGGAAAGTCTAGAAGGCCGGCTTGTGACCATACCGAACCCCGTTGCGTTGAATTTCGAGGATAGATTTGGCAGTTTCTGGGTGGTGGGCGATTGGGATACGCCAGGTCGGAATGCCAGAGGTGGTTTGACCTTGTCGTTTGGTACGTGACTGTCTCACAGCTCCTCCTAAGTGCTTACTCATGGTCCTTTCTCAGATACGCTCGGTTTGCCGACTGCAAACGCGGACGCCATACTCATCGGTAGGCCGTTAGATCGAGCGAAGAATCCCGCAGTTGCCGTCGGTGCCAAGCTTTCCAACATAACTGGTGTGATACACTACCAGTACGTACGGCATTACTTCGCGCATTCGCTTTTTTGATTCTCTGCTTCTAGGTATGGCTTCTTCTCCTTACTGCCGCTCTCCGCACCCTCGGTTCTGTCCGCGCCACCATACGAACCTCCGGCGTCTTCCCTCGTACCCGATGCCGACCCGTGTTCTCTGATCATAGGTGACTACAACGTGCGTAACCGGCCGTCCTGCAGTACAGACCTCATACCGACCATACCAGGTCGAAAACATGTCGCCTAAATCAGCGCACTTACCCATTGTGGCTGAGCACATCGCCCTCAACCTGCAAGCGCCTTCAATCATGCTTCTCCAAGAGATCCAAGACGACTCTGGGTCTAAGAACGACGGGACGGTGTCCGCTAACGTTACGCTCACGACTCTCGTCGACGCTATCTATGCTGCCAGTAACAGCACGGTGCAGTATGCATTCACAGACGTACCTCCCATCGATAACCATGATGGAGGTCAACCTGGTGGGAACATCAGAGTAGCATACCTGTTCGTGTCTTTTCTGGGCTGTCCTCCGTCCTTGTACTCAATGCGACCCGTGCAGGTACCGTCCCGACAAAGTTGCGTTGGTGCCCGGACCACGCGCAGGCGGGCCCACTGAAGCTAATGCGGTCGTTGCGGACTCCGCGGGCAACGCGGTGCTCAGGTATGCTCGTCTCACGCGCGCCGCATGGCATGGCCCCACCTCGTTCGCTGATACGCGATGCAGATTTAACCCGGGTCGAATCGAACCTTCGTCAGCGGCGTGGAACGACGCGCGCAAACCGCTCGCGGCTCATTGGCAGACGTCTACCGGCGAGCGGTTTTTCACCATCAACGTTCACTTCTCGTCGAAGCGTGGCAGCACTTCGACGCACGGCGACCCGCGTCCTCCCATCAACGGGGCAGTCGAGACCAGGCTTGCTCAGGCTAACATTACTGCTGTATGTGCCACGGTCTCTGCTTCGTATACACTATCTCTGAGAAAGATGGGGTGTCCTCGCAGGCGTTTGTCCGGGACCTGCTCGCCATAGATCCGCAAGCGAGCGTGATTCTTGGTGGAGACATGAACGAGTTTGTTCATGCACGATCCGTATTCGCGTCGTTCACGGACACGCTATACGATATCAATGAAGTTTCCGGAGTAAATCCGGTTCGTCCCCCCGCACCGCCCTTCTGGGTAATTAAATGACGCGTTATTTATCAGGTTGAGCGTTATACATACGCATACGATCAAAATACGGAGGAGTTGGATCATCTTTTCGTCTCACGATCCATTGCCGATCGGGGAACGGAAGTGGAGCACGTCCATGTTAACACCTGGGCGCCCTCGAAGCGAGCGCAGGTGTCCGATCATGACCCAACGCTCTCCAAGATTCGTATATGTACGAATTTACAGAGGTTTCACGGATCCCGTACGTCTGTTTATTACTCGTAATAATACGCAGCTGACCCTTATACTGGCAGTTGGAGGTATTTCGCCAAAGCCTGTGACGGAGCGTCACGGTCAATATCGGACGGATGATGAAGTTTACTCGTCTCTCGCGGCGGCGCGAGCAGCATCTTGCGACGCCCAGCGGAAAGCTTGCATATCTTACGCGCGGAGTCATGAAGGTGTTACGCGTCTGGGATGCATTGGCCAAGAAGCGCGATGCCTAACCCGTGTCGTGGCATAGTGACATAGCTGGCCGAGCAATAGCTCCATTACTGTCATTAGGAACGCCAATCTGACCCTACTCGCTCGTTGCTCCGTTCTCACAGAGTCGCATGCGTGAAGCAATGATCAGGGTGGAGGCCTTAGATCCGCAGTTAATCGCAGTCATAGTTATCCTGTGCCATGATCATCTCAGCAGCTTCTTTCGTTCGCTTTCTCTCAACGAAGTCTCGACCTGGGGTATTTGTGCCACACCAGCGCGATGGAGCTCGTACGTGGTATGTTATCACGTATCAAGAGCGGCTATCATATTGCTGACAGAGAGACATAGGCAGCGACATCACCCGTTCCATGGATATGTTCCGTCCAGGAATGACATGCGCTTACACCAACACCCACAACATCTTTCCAAGCTTGGAACGCTCGCGGCATGTCAGTGTCTAGCATCGCGATGTCGCCTGCACACAGAACAGCTTCTAGCGACCCTATGCCCGCCAAATGTCCGCTGGACGATCAGGCTTTGCCGCGCCACAAGATCTGCTGTGATGGCCGTCCCTGGGCGTCCCTCCATTCGGTGTCACCTAAAACTCTCCTGCCAAAGCACTGACCGGTCAATATGGTCTGGACCCATTGATAGGACGGAAGCTTCTCACGAACTTCTTTCTTTATAATATTGGCTGAGCGGAGGTAAAACGTACTCTTCTTCCGGGATCTCCCACCTCCGGTGGAGGATTGAATTGATGACTATACGAACTCGATCGGCACTTGAATGAGCTCTTGACACCTATTATTTTCCGCTCGTATTCTACAAGCTAGCGCTCGGCGAGACGAACGACGGCGGCAACACAATGTAGCTATGCGAGATCAGGAGTTACGCAGGGCGAACTTCTGAGATTCTTTCTGTGCACCAATAATAACCGGTACGCCAGTAGCATTTTTACTACCTCTGCATGTTATACTGACTCAATGTGAACTTTAATTGTCAGCACCTGCAAGATTGAGCTCCCGAACAGGGTGTGCAGTAAGAGAGCATTCAGTTTCGTGGGGATGACATTGATCTATTTCAGGGATACTTCCCGATGGCGGGAACGTAGAATCATATAATTCAGCCGGCAATCTGGAAGTCCGCATAGCAAATTAAACACCGTGTGCGTAACTCTCGAGGGTGTCCTCAATATGTAAAGTCTCGTTGACTGTCGTCGACTTGTTCTCCTACTTCACCCCTCTCCTACTTCACCCCCTCACGCGCTAACCCTGCTGGATGACCCTTATACGCACTCTATAGCCACCCGACGCGCTGGCAAACTCATGCCATTTGACCTATCGGCGATACGGGAAGCGAACGTAGAGAGGGCCTGCCAGCGTACGTCATGCCGTGCTTCGCGCTCCTTGTTTATACGCAAGCTGATCGAGATCCAGTATCTGCATTCATAATAGTACTGTATGAGTACGGTACGTACATGAAGGCCAGGGGCAATCCACATGGTCCCTCACTGTCGACGCTCTGAAGTTCACCAGCTGTCGGACGAGGTTAGTCATACAATTCTCTCACAAGGTATTACCTTCGTGGCGCTCTGAACCTTGCGAATCAGGTCGACTTCTTTTGGGTGAGAGCATTTTCCCTCTCCGCATTCCTTCAGAGTGCCGATGGGATCATCTCGGGCACGCGCGTACAGAACAAGCGGTGGTCGCTCGGCAAAACCCTGTTCATATGGGTGCGTACCTATTCAGTACCTTATCGCTGCGAGCAACATGCGATACCCCCGCAGAGCCGGTACTACAGCCTGTAAGTGGAAGGTAACCTGGAAGAAGACTCGAGGCAGCTCACATCGATGCTCCAGTGCATACAATCTGTGCGTCCATGCCTCGACCTCGTGGTCATGCGACGTCGGCTGACATTCCCTTGCTCTGCATCTAGTGCAAGCAGCATCGGTGCGCTCAGAGCCACCTCATCTTCGCAAATGTTCAATTCTTGTCCCTCTAGTTTTCTTAAACCCTCATCCGTCATTCAAGGTACGGCATTCCATCGGAGGCACAAAGCACGGCTTAACATAGCTTTCCGGTGTTTCAGACGTACGTAACTCGGATCTTTCTTTGTCATATGCCGTCGGCCTGCTGAACAGGATCATACGACAATCCCTGAAGATGTTCGTCCTACAATCAATATCTTCAATTTAGTCAAGTAACTCATACTTCCTAGGTTTGAACTATTTCATTTGGGACACCGTAGGCCTGTGTTTGCAAGTGATCAGTACTCACTGTGGGCGAGCTCTGTTATCTTGAGTGGCTATCATCTGATTCAACGAACAGTGATCCTCGAGCTACGGTTATGGGCCATGTACGGGAGCACTAAGAAAGTTGCCACATTCTTCTGTCTGCTTACTGCGATGGAGGCTGTTGGTTATGGAGTAATTTTCTCCAAGCATCCTATGGGTTTAACGTGTAGGTCATTATGGCCTTTCGAACCTCAGGAATCGGAGCTAAATAAGCTATAGTGACCAACAATCCTGCTCCTGAAGTATTCGTATGCGCAGACGCTGACGTGCGCCATGGACACCTCATTGCATATGGCTGGACGATTGGGGTATCGGTGGACAGCATCCTTCTGGGGTTCACTCTGTACAAAACCTTTCAGCACTCGAGGGAAGGTAGGATGGAAGGTGGTCTAATGCAGCTGCTCACGCGAGACCAGACGCTGTTCTTCTTCCCGTACGTCGTCCCTTGCCATGCAACGATCGACAGGTGCTCACTTTATGACAGGATTCTGGGCATTTTCGTCACGAACCAGGTGATCTGGCTGGTTAACCACGTAAGCAGCGCTTTGCACACGCTCGTCATGCGCTGATTTATATTCATACGTAGACGACCATCAACGAGGTGGCCACCGGATATGCCGTCGGACTATCTGCAGTCCTCGCCCACCGCCTCATGATATCTGTTCGGGTGTCGTACTACTCAAAGACGGAATGCTCGAATATATCTGGGATGCTCCCCAGTATCCGATTCGAGCATGGCCATGAGACGACCCGTACTCGTCTCACGAACTTCGAGGAGCAGCAAGTCCGCACTCGTCGCGACATAGTCGAAATGGACCAGTTCAACGACCAGCAGGGCGTGTAGCACGACACCGTACTCACACGGACACGTTTTTTACGAATCCTTCGCCCACGTAGCATTCAGGAAGATTAGCATATTCATTATCACACGCATTCATTGTACGTTAGTATAGTATACCACCTCATGTAGTTGATACGAACGATGCGAAGAAGGCAAGCATCCTGGCATGTATATATGCTTAAGGAGTCGAGTAGTCGCGTCATTTTGTCAGCAAAATCGCTACGTGTATATCTGTACATTCGATGTTGCAGGGAGCACACAAATATGGTAGGCAGAATATAATAGATGGTGGATGAGGGTAAGGTCCGAAAAGATAGTGAACGAAACTTCTCATTTAACAGAAGTCGAATGTCCGTCCGAAAACGCATGCCCAACATCTTGATGATGCGGATCAACGCAAAGCAAGAACCCCAGAGTAGATATCGACACCGAACAGCTTTACAGCATAGAAACGAAGGTCGCCGGAGGCCTAAACAAATGACAGCCAGCAGGCAAGGATTGTGGATTGTGGATGCGGAGGAGGCGAGATGGGGTGCGCATGTAATGCTCTAGTGGAAGAGTGAGGAAGACACTTATACCCGGCTTCGCAGTTACGCCGACGACGTCCCAGGTGGCAAAGTTGAACGAAAACATGAGAGCGACGGCGGCGAATACAAGGGGTATTCGACGGTATCATGCGTATTCGTCAGCGCGTCGTGAGCGTGTATACGTTGCTTCATTGCATTTCGTTTCTTCGTCGTTCGGTGAGTTTTCCAGAGGCGTCATGTTGTAGTGGCAGAATAGGCTCGGGTCATGGTGGCATGGACGCAGGATACGCCCTCCCAACAACGCTGGCATCTCCACTCGACCCCCGAGCTTCGGTGATAGGTTCCAAGCTCACGGCATGCCGTTCGCTGCCGGTGCTTGTCGTTGTCGTGCTCGCCTGGCCATCGGACGTTCGGGTGTGCGCTTCGCTGATGACCGGGCTGGCGAGAGGACTAGGGCTCGCCGTGAGATACGTCGTGCTGATGCTCCGCGTGCCGACGACACTGATAGCGCTCCTCGTACTCCCCCCCGATCCACTCCTGTCTCGTCCACTCACGGTCCCACTCGGATCGTCGGGGTTGCCCGAGTAGGGGAAAGGCTCCCGGTCGGCGTTTGACGAGGAAGAGTTAGCCGTGCTGGGTGGGTTGCCGGCCGCATCGAGGACCTGGCGGATGTTGAGGCTGTTGGAGCGACTGGGCGGTGGGCTGCCCTGCCCGCCCGTGCCGACGTCTGAGAGGGTGAGCGATAGCGCCGTCATCCTCGTCGGCGGCCTGCTCAAGCTCCCGGCCTGCGTCGTCGAAATACTACCGGGCCCTCTCGCACCCCTCGTCGAAGCTTCGCGAGAACCGAAGGATTCAATGGTAGGCATGCGCCGAATATAAGCCCCGAGGATCCGTATCCGTTCATCCTCGCCCGTCACGTTTTCCCCCGATCCGGGCAGGATGCTGCTCGCTCCGGAGGAGGCAGACTGTGGGGAGGGAGCCCGGAGCAGCTCCGCCGGCGGGAGTAGGCCAAACTCCTCGTACGTCACCCACTCCCCGTTCGCCAGCCTGAACCCCCTCGCGTCCATGGCCCGGATCGCCGTGCTCGCGGCGAGCGACTGCGGAAAGCTGGGGAAATACGACTCACGATCCACGCTGGGGGAGGGCGTGTGATTCGGTGACGTCTGCGCAGAGCCGGGCGTGGAAGCGGGCGACTGGGGAAAGTATAACGGATCCCGAGGCCGCAAGTCCTGTGAATGAGGAGACGGGCTGTCCGGCTGCGCGAGTACCATGCCTGCCTCCGTCTCCCTCGTTACTTGAGCCACGAGCTCGCGGAACTGGTTGGCGAGCTCTTGCAGTTGCCCCTCCGACATCCCGTGCGACGGAGAAGCCAGTAGTCCGCCCGGCGGGCTATGCGAAAGCCCTGGAACTGGGGAGGAGGACGGCCCCGCGATCGGCTGCGGTGTTGGTGACCCGGATCCCTCCACCGATCCAATACCTTCGGCCGCATGACGAGCCTCTGCGCTACTGGTAAAATTCCCTTGATCATGATCGGAAGCGGGTGCGCTGGAGTCGTGGCTGATGGCCTGCGACTGAGGCCGTGAACCTCCCGACGTCGACCCCGAGAATGAGACCCTCTGACTCCTGGCTGACCGTCTGGAGCGTCGCTTGCTCAACTTCCGAGGTCGTCTCGGCGGGCTAGTGGAGCTGTCCGGGATGTCTGGTATCGGGATATGACCGATTCCCGAACCTTGCCCCGAAACTATGCTCTGGGACGAGGTCGCTCTGAGCAACGGGTCGCGAACTCTCGGCACGGAGACGGGCGCTGCGGCAATAGAGACCATCCGCTGCCCACCGGGAGATGGATCGGTTGGCGTGTTGTGAGGTTGAGGAGATGTCTGCATGGTGGATGTGGAGCGATTCCAAAGGAAGGGGAGGAAAGATGAGCGATGAGAATGAGATTGTGATGTAGTGCGTATGCGTCTAGGAACGTGGACCGCTGATACAGCAAGAGTAGATGGAACGACCGATAAAGGTCCGCGAGTGAGGTGCCAGACGAAACGATATAACTCCTAAATAATCAACATACATGAGCCGAGGGCAAGGAAAGAGGGACAAAGGACGAATAGACGTACGAGTACGCCCAACGTAAGTACCATCCTCACTACAGCAAGGACCAGCCATACTCCCCAACCTGTAGCAGCTCCAGCTTGACAGGTGTGTCCTACGCCGGTCCACACGACATCCAGGTCCCAGTTGCATCGACCCTCGAGGCTTTCTCCAAGATCAGATGTATGATGCCAGACGAAGACCAGTATGAAGTTCGCTATCGCGGGGAGGAGAAGGAAGAAACTCGCAAAATATTGGAAAAAGGTGATTAAATAGGCGGATGTATGCGGCGATAAGGCGGACAAGTCGGAGTAAGTGAGTGTAACGGAGAGGAAGAACAGGAGGAGAGACAAGGAGGACGAGGCACCAAGGATGAAAGCAATCGTATGCCTGTCATGCGAGGTGTAGATGGCGGAGCCGATGAAGTAGCGAGCGACGGTGTACATTGTCCACAGGCCTGTGAGAATCGGTACTTGTTAGTACGGTTACAATAGCTGAAATGGTTACAGCATACGATCACGCATACACGGCAGCGATCGGTGCCATGTATGCGCTATCTACGCTGAGAAACGGCGCATATATGCGCAGGACGCGGAACGTGGATCTCGTAACTTACATATAACTGCCTCCAATACGACCCGGAACCACCTCGTCTTTCTCCTCCGCCGTACCGCACGCCTGCCCTGCGTCCTTAGCCCGCCGGCCCCTTCGATGTCTACCGCTGGTCGACTTTCCCTACCGCCCCCGGCGGCAGGCTCGCGCGCCTGCTCCTGCCCTCGCTCCAGATTAAGATCCCGTGCGAACGCCTCCCTCGAGCGCGGGGACAGGAGCGCTTGATGCGACTCCGCGGTGTGCGCCTCGGTCGTCTGGCGTCCGATGCTATCGTGGCTGGGTCGGTAGTGCGACAGAGAGGAGGGCGGGGGGGAGTGCTGCGAGGTCGAGGCGGGGGGGTCCCGCTCATGCGTGGGCGGCTGCCTATAGGTGACCGTCGAGGCAAACGTGGGATGCACGCTATCGCCGTAGGTGGGAAACGGGCGACTGTTGGGAGGGCTGTGCGAGGACGAGGAGCCCGGGGAGGGGGGCTCTGACCGAAATGAGCTCCGCCGGGAAGGATCAGTGGCGAGGAAGGCGTTGTGCAGCGAAACCGCGGCCATCACATTTGGCTGACGTCGGCTTCTGCGCGCGCGTCACGGTGGTGCTCGTTGCGGATTCCTGGCCAAATATCGGTGGTGCTCGTCGCCGGGGACGGCGAGCTCGCGGGTTTGCTCGTCGTGGTAGGAGAAAAGAAGGGTGGGTGGGTTGTGGGCCTCGCCGCCGCCGCTCCTCGCCCCCCAAGGGAGCAGAACCCTTGGAGGGCGCCGTAGGCACACCGACGTCTCGGTTTCAGACATTTCGTGCTTCGCGCGCCCCCGCCTTCTCGCACTCGGCACACTTCGGCCCGACGTGGTCATCACGCCTTTTCGTCTCCGCCTTCGACGCGAGTCGCTCCCCAGTTGCCCAGCGTTCGCCTCTTTCGTCGTTCACTGGCGATGCAATCACTCCTCTAGGTCTGTGGCGATGGGGCTTTGCCCGGGTGGGCCGTAGCTATCACCGCGCACACGCAGAGAAATCACGACGGCGGCCCACTGGTGAGATCATCGGCGACTCAGACTGATGCATCCTCACACAGAAGCCGGCCGGTCTGGTTAGACACGATCATGCCATGCTTCTTCAGTACCGTTTGTGCCCTCTAAGTTCATCCTCGTTGATCATCTTACATGCCATTTTATGAAGCCGTCACGTACAGTGAGCTCCGTCCGCGATAGAGAGACTGTAGACAGAACAAAGAGCAATACGATACGGAACTTACGGTGAATGATCCACTCTCATACCACAACTTGGTGCTTGGCCTTCCTCAGAATTCTCAACATGTCTCAGCCGATCCAGTGATTCGACAAGGTATCGCCGGTGGAATCGCCCAACGACGTCAATCTCGGATCCGAATCACGAGCTGTATATCTCGCCACTGCTCAGCCACAAGCGCTGATCTATGGCAGCAAGGTTGTACGTTTATTTGATGTGCACGCTTGATACAGCTCGTATAGGAGAATTACTCTCAGGAAACGGGTGTGAGCCGCAGCCTCGTTTCATCCATGTTCTTCATGGACCTCGTATGCCAAGAGTTTGGCCGTATCTGCCGGTGGTCAGCGCTCAAGCTGTATTCTCCTGATCTCATGCAAATACGTGGAATGACACGTACCTCTGGAACTTATCAGGTTGATGATGTAAGAGCTGTGTGGCGCGAAGACTCGGAACCGGCTTGTTGGCGTGTGTTACATGTGCTCGGAGTGCGACGAAGTGATCTTACGGTATATATGTTTAGTACGCGCTCCATGCCTGCATGCACAATACCCCTCCAAGGTGGTGCGCATGCGGTTTAAGTTATGGGAGCGATAACCTCGCTTTACATCATCTCAGTGGGCCATCGTCGCGGTATATCAAGATCTTAGAGGCGGATCCTGCGGACAAGAAGTCGCGACGATGTACAGTGCGAGCGAGGCAATCGCGGTTCGCACGACAGTCGCACCAGTCTATTGAAATTCACGGAACCTTCGCAGTAACCATGCCAATTCGTCCACAAAGCGTTCAATATACACTCGTGCGGGCGCTGTACATGTCGGAGCCGTGTCGTATATACGCGCTCCCTTTCGTCACATATCCTCAGTTGCAATGGGCAAAAAAAAATGAGACAATTATACACAACCCCTTTTTAAAACCAGCATTTACACATATCTCACGGACAACCCTGTGCCCAGACCGGAGGCTTCATATCCGCGCAGCCTCTGTATTATTTTCCGTCTCGTGCCCGGCGCGCAAGTGGCGGCCCTGAACGACCCGGAACGCGTTGCTATGTACCTGCAGGAACACCCCCTGAAGGTCCCCAGGCTTTGGTTTGCGTACATACGACAACGTTTTAGCGCCGTCTCACAAATCTGATTATACGTATTCAATATTCGGATGTTCGATGCAGCCAGTATTCGGCACCGCTGGTCGATGTTGCGCGTCGTTACCAAGAGATACGTGTCGTACATGGAAGGCCTCATGCACCGTAACGGACTATATTGCGAGCGGCGCAATACATACCAAGAATAATTCCTTCTGTCCGAGCTTTGTATCAGGGTCAAAAACTTGAGTCGCAATGGTCGTATCAATTCCGACGTTCGCGCTCTATTTTGCCGGAGGTAAGAGATCGCCCACGATCGGGAGGATGTGAGTGTGCGTTCGAATCCTGGAACCCCTGTTGGAATATTGTCGATATTTACACCTTGCACACCGAAACTGTGTGATATGCATAGTGACGTAAAGGACACGGGACACGGTGAATCGTACTCGAGCTCACCGGCCTGTGCTGATGTGACGGTGGCCAATCTAACCATTGTAACGGCAGCCTTCAGTTCATTCCTATGATAAAATAAGAGGCATATACTGCGATTGTTCTGCCAATCGCGAGCCATAACGCCACAGGCGGAGCATGCATCCTTGGGATACCAAGGATCATGCCTCGTCTATGTGCGTGACGTGCGCGAGTGCAAGGTCTATTGAACATGCGTGTCGCAGGGGCGGCGGGTATCGGATGTCGGAGCAAAGGTACACAGGTGGGCGAGAGCATGTTATCCGATATGCGCCCACCGACGGCTGCCGATTTATACCTGTCAACATCTGCCAATATAAGACATCAATCCCGCGCCGATGAGTTCGTGTATGCTGTCCGATGCTGTCCGATGATGATGATGATGATGGTCTCGATAAGTCCTACATCGCAGAAGTGTCGTTTGAATACGATGTGGATCGCAACCGGGGTGTCGATGCTTCTTAGACTAGAAGGATATCCAGATACGATCGAGGGGGGCCACAGTAGGAGATCAAGTCGTGGATAGTTTGTGGGCGATCCTTCGGTGCGACAAGAGCGCGTGTGCACGGCGTGAGTTTTTGGGGAGTACCCATGCCCGCCGACCGTTATTTACTCGTGCCTACAAACTGTCTGTAGAGAAAAGCACTGAGAAGTAATCCGTAAGCTATACTGTGTGTATGGGATGCGTTTAGAGAAACTCACGGATTTTATCACGAATACAGCCTGCCGATTGTAATCTGTTTCTTTAGCTCGGTGATACCAGTGGGCACAGTCGAAGCCCCAAATGCTTCAACATTGAAGCCTAGCTTTAGCATATATACTGTAGAGAAACACGTCATAAGTAGCGCTAGTACGTAGGACTACGGGCAATAGTTGAACGTTGAACGAAGAGGACGAATCCGAAGGAAGGATCGGAAAAAGCCGAAGCGATCATACATGTGCTTGTGGCGGCCACGTGGTGACCCCGTGACTCACGCGCGCTCTCCCAGCCGTGGCGAGCGTGCCCTATTCGGCTCCTCTCCGTCATCGACGGAGTCGGGGACAGAGTGCCGTCCCGGGAGCACCATTGGATTTTCGGGACTGCGCTCGTTGCTCACTCTGCTTCCATCCTCTCGGGGACGAACCGGCCGGATATCTAACGACCTTGCTACGACTCTCCCGATGAAGACCTCTATTGTATACTATGCGCTCTGCTTGCTTTCCTCCTGCTCTCTGGCGTGCGTAAGGGCGTACGATCTCGTGAAGGAGTACTCTGGGACGGACTTCTTCTCGGAATGGTATGCACCAAGTTCTTTCACCTCGATATCTTGCGTCGGATGCGATCGGTTACGATGCAGGGACTTCTATGGCTCTTGGGACAACCTAACGAACGGGGATATATGGTGGTTGGACGCCGCGAATGCAACGCAGCAGCACCTAGCCTTCGTGAACGAGGCGGGTAACGCCATCATGAAAGTGGACAACACGACGAACGTCCCGTGGAACGATAAGAGGAACAGCGTACGTGCTCGGCACGCAAATATTGTCCGGTGGTGTGGTACTGACATGCGACCGTCCGAAGGTGCGAATAACGTCCAAGGCAGCGTACCCCGTCGGGAGCCTGTTCATTATTGACATGGTGCACATGCCGTTCGGATGCTCGGTACGTCCACCTTCCACATGTCGAACACGCCTTCTCCTGCGCGCCATTCGCCTCCCGTCTCAATCATGTTGAACCACCCTTCCATCCGACTACGAATATGTTTTGTGTGGGCTACCATGCTAACCTCAACCGATCGCAGGTCTGGCCCGCGTTCTGGACCAAAGGTACCCTCTGGCCCGACAACGGCGAGATCGATATCCTCGAAGGCGTCAACCTTTTCACCGCCAACCAGATGGCGCTCCATACGTTGGGCGGTGCGTGCCTCGCCATCAATTATCCCCTCCTTCGTTCACCCTCCCTCACCGATAACCAAGAGGTTGATCGCTCACCACCCGCGGCGTACAGGTTGCACCCACAGCACACCACCAAACCAGCTCGGACGATCAGGCAGCGACCCGGACTGCTCCACTCCGGCGGGTTGCATCGTCACAGAGGCAAAGCAGAACTCGTACGGGTCCGGGTTCGCAAGCGCCGGCGGCGGCGTGTTCGCCGCCCAGTTCGACGTCAGCGGGATCTAGTACGTGCTTTCCCTAGCATGTTTTTCACCTCGGCAAAAATGGGGTTCGACTAACCCAGACGAACGAAAAAACAGCATGTGGTTCTGGAGCGTGCGTTTCTTAATCCTAAAATCGATGCAAATCGTCCACTCGTTTCGATTATTGATGCTCTATATGGGTGTGCGCAGCGCGCGGACGTACCGCCCAGCATCTCGTTCGCCAACTCGACCTCGAGCATCACCGACCTCTCCGATTTCGGCAACCCATCCGCGTCCTACCCGGCCTCAACGTGCAACATCACCGAGTTCTTCGGCCCGCAACAGCTCGTACTCGACATCACCCTCTGCGGCGACTGGTCCGTCCCATCCTCCTCCTGTCCTGACTTCCATGTGACTCACCCTGCGATGCGAATCAAGGGCGGGAATCGGCGCCGTGTACAACACGAGCGGATGCACCGGACCCACCGGCCTCTGCGTGCGTTGGTCTTTCTCCGCGTCTCACCACAAAACCACAAATGACACCCCCCAAACCTCTCTCTCTTTTCAGTACGACGACAACGTGATCGGCTCGGGCGCGAACTACGCCGACGCCTACTTCGAGATCCGCTACGTGCGCGCGTACAGCCTCCCCGGCACGCCGCAGCCGACGGTCACGAGCGCGCCCGCGTCGGGGACGACGACGACGACGAACGGCTCGCCCGCGAGCGACGCCGCGGCGAGCACGACCTCCCCCGACGATAGCGGCGTCACGGTGGTAAGCCGCGCCGCTCCTCCTCCCCACCGGTCCTTCGGCGCTCGGAGCGGACTCGTCGCCGCGCTCAGCGTGCTCGCGCTGCGCTGCCTCTCATAGCGCTTCCTCTCCCCCTCTTTCGGCGACGCGTCCGTTCTCCTCCTTTTTGTTTTGCTATGATATACACAACATCGTTGACCGGCGGAATCACACGTTTTAGGAACAGTGCACGGGGGGTTACTGGTACATACATACATACAACACACCGACTATTTCATCCCCCCCCTTTTTTCTTCCCCTCGCTTTGTCTCTGCTGCTTGTGTGTAATTTTTTACGGGAAACAAACGCCTGGTGGGGCACGAAAGCGCGTATCCTATGTTTATAACCCGAATGACCGAAGGAGGAAGAGGACCGGGATCTGGATGGAACGTACGGGACGCGGTAGTGAGAGAGAACCGGGGAGATAACGAGCCCCCACGTTTGCGGATGAAAGATGAAATAAATAAACGCCCGGTTGAGCGGGGGCTACGGCACCGGAGAGGATGACAATGGGACAAGGAGGGAGTAAGCATGTATTAAGCTCGTCGCAACGTTTAACAGGCCGGGGCACCGAGAGCCCGAGAGAGACGCGGAGAAACAGCCGTCCCGCCGGGGCTGCGCGGATTCGCCAAGAATAGGAGGGAGAGAGAGCGGGGGGGATGGCGCGGCTGAAGCGTAGATCGCCGGGGGGGAGACGAGCAAACGAGCAAAGGCGGGTCCAGTTGCCCTCCACGCAGCCCTCTTCCCGCACGTTCGGGGGGGAAAAAGAAAGAAAAAAAACCCTCGCGAGAGAGCCCCATCTTCACCCCCTCAACCGCCACCCGTCGCCCTTCCTCGCGACCTTGCCCACCCCGCCGATACCCTCCCTCACGACGACCCACATCCCCGTGGCCGACACCACGTCCTTGATCTCCTCCGCCGTCAACACCACGCCCCCTCCCCCAGCCCCTCCCCCTGCCCCACCCACCGCCGCGCCGCCCTCCTCGACCGCCGGCCGCGCCACGCCCGCAGGCGTCACCACCCGCGGCCTCACGCCCATCCTCTCCACGTCCACGTCCGGCAGCGGAAACGGCACCTTGAGCATCGCGACCACCTTGGGATGATGCGGCGTCGGCGACAAGCTCGCCACCCGCGTCTTCACCTGCTCCTCGGTCCCTCCTGCCCCTCCCCCTCCTCCTGCCCCTCCTGATCCTGATCCTGAACCGAGGTTCAACCCGAGCCCGGGGTAGACGCGCCGCAGGACGAGGTAGCACATCCACGGCGTCTCCGAGTCCTCCGGGTCGCTCTCCTCCCCGTCGTCCTCCCTCGGCGCAAACCCCGACGCAGGGCGCGGCGTCCGCTCCGCCGCCGCCTCCCCGCCCTCGTCGTGCTCATGCTCATGCTCCTGCGTGCTCAAACTGCCCCGATCGAGCGACCTCCGCGCGAACCCGCCCGCCCGCGCCCGCGGCGTCTTCCCGCCCGCCCCGGCGCTCGTCGCGCCCGCCTCCTCGCCGCCGCCATGCAGCGACGACTGCGACGACAACGCGACGCTCGCCCGCCTCTCGCCGCCCTCGCTCCCCCCGCGCCGCACCGACCGCCTCCTCCCGCTCGCACGCGACGCCCTCTGCCGCGCCTTCGTCCACTCGAACCGCAGCTCGACCTCCCCGCCCCCTCCGCCGGGCCCGCGCTCGCGCCGGCGCGCGTCCAACTGCGCGATCATGCCGCCGAGCACGCCCTCGGGCGCGCCCTTGAGCCAGCGGCGCACGACCCAGACGTACGCGCTCGGGCGGCCGACGGGCGGGTTGGTCGGCGCGAGCAGCGACGGGCGGATGCCGAGGATCTCCGGCTGGAGCACGGGCTGGCCCGGTCCCGGGCCGCCGTTGGAGATCGCGGACGAGGTCGGGGTCGGGTCGGCGGAGGTGGGCGGGGTGGGGGACGTGAGGACGAGCGAGGCGCGTTTGTACGGGGTGGGGGTGGGGGGCGAGGGAGAGCTGGGCGGGGTGGGGCCCGGGGCCGAGTCTTTGCGCGAGCGGAAGAGCTTGCCGAAGAGCTTTTTGGGGCCGGTGGAGGGCGGCGGGGTGCTGAGCTCGGCGACGGGCGGGAGGGAGGAATGGGGCGGCGGCGGCGGCGGGAGGTGTCCGTGCGAGTCGGCGGTGGAGGTGAGGGAGAGGTGCGAGGAGCCCGGGGTGTGCGGGGGGTCCGGCGTGCCGGAGCGGCTGTAGGCGGAGAGCCGGTGCGCGTCGTCGACGCTGCGGCGGGCGGGCGAGGTGGTGGTGGACGACTGCTGGGCGTGCGTGTGCGTGTAGCCGGCGGGGCCGAAGACTTCGACGGGCTCGAGCACGGCGAGGCCGATGACTTCGAGCCCGCGCCTGAGGAAGCGCGCGATCTTGGCGTCGGTGCCGGCGTCGACGACGACGTTCGTCATCACGTTGTGCGCTTGGAGGTTGTACAGGGGGATGATCATGCGCCGGCCGGAGGAGGTGGAGGAGGCGGTGGCGACCGAGTTGAGAGAGGCGGCGGAGGAGTAGGAGGAGTAGATCGAGGTGGTGTCGGACCGGTTGGTGGACGTGCGGGAGAGGTTGATCACGCCCGGTTCGGCGGAGGAGTCGAGGGAGGAGCGGCCTCCGGTGGCGGAGCGCTCGCGGTGCTGGGGCGGCACGAGCTGGACCTGGAGGTTCAGGGGGTGGTTCGACTTGGAGGGCGGTGGGCGGACGATGATGAACGTCTGCAGACGACAGGGAACAGAGAGTGCATCAAGTGATCAGCGTCATCGTAAGACCCGGACCCCGTCCTGGCCCACTTGCCTCGCTCGAGCTCTTCTCCTTCTTCTTGTCCTTGCGTACGCCCATCTCGTCCGCGTTCATCGCGCGCGCGTCGGGCGGGCGATCCTCGTGCTCGCCCGAGGGAAGCTTTATGCCCGGCGGCGGCCTGTTGTCGCTGTTGGCATGATTGGTGTTGCTGTTGTTCTGGAGCGCGGACGGCAGGAAGGACTGCAGCGTCGAGAACATGCTGGTCAGTGGCTGATATGGATTCAAGGCAGCTCAGCTCGATGGGGTCATCGACGGAAGACGAGGAGGCGGAGGCGATGGCGATGGGATGCGGGGGGCTCGGGCGCTTGTCGCGCGCGCTGCCATTTAAAGCGAGCATGCCGGACAACGCGCGTTACGTCATCACGCCGTCCGCTAATCGGCTGTGCTGCCTCCCTCGGTGCGCGTCCCGGCAGTGTTGGAAAAACTTGGCATTGCCCCCTTCCCTCCTCTCCCTTCCCTCCGCCCCAGTGTTCCCCGTTCACCTGTTCCACGGCTCACACACCGCAGACAGGGACATGTGGGCCCCGTTCCCTGGGGGGCCTTCTGCACGGGAACGACACGGGTTATTCTCGTTCAATGTCATGGGGGCTGTAGAACCACCTTCGCGTAACGCGCGTGACGCGATGCCAGCGAGGCTCGGGGCAAATGGCACTGAGTCTGCCTCTGTCTTTGCTGATCGCGCATGGCCATCGGCCCCATGGGCTCCGATTACGGGAGATCGCGTCCAATCCTGGTCCCGTCGTTTCCGAATCCACCCAGAGCTTAGCCAGAGCATCAGCATCCTCGTTCGCCGAGGGCGACGCGTGGGGCCCGGCCGGCAATGCGCGTGTGCGCGTGTAACACAAAAAAGAAAACACGTCGGATATACGCGCGTCGGGGTGTGGGATGTGGGATGCATAGGAGCGCTGTGCGTCCTTGCCGCCGTAACGCGAACGCGCGGACGAGCCAGCGACGATCGTGCCTGGTCGCGAAGGATGAACAGTACGCCTCCGTGCGCTGCGGAGGCCCTCTGCCTGCGCACCGGTGATCGATAATCCATCCTGAGCGAGAGCGCGCGTTTGCACCGCACCGTCGAATTCTCCCGTGTATGTACCCGTTGGCGGTGGTTCTTCCGATGATGGGCTATTTATCGGCATGCGCCTATCTGTCCACCAAACCGTCCCGCCAACGATCGAGCCGCAGTCTGCGAGTGCAGGCTATTATCAAGGGTTTGGGCGGTGCGGTGCGGGCGCATGCGCAGGCGGAAAGCGCCACGAAGCCCCAGCTACCGTCCATACTTACGCCGCCAAATTGCCTCGTACATACAGTACCATCCGATCTCGACATCGACGCCAAGATATCCTCCCGTCTGGCGTGCGATGTCGCGTATCCTCTTCACCCCGTCCTTGACACGTACTCATCACCCTATTCACCGGTGATTCTCAGGATTGCAGTCGACTTCCTGTTCTCCTTCCCTTCATCAACGTCAACGTTTCAACATCCAACATCCAACCCTGCGAAACGTAAATAATAATAAAAAGGTTGGTGCTAACGCGCTTTTTTTCGATTTCTGCGCTTTGCTTTTTCGTCAAGGGCGCTAACGAGTGCAAACGTGTCCGCCCCCCCGACTTTGCCGACCCCCCCGCTTTCGCCTATGTAGTTTTTTTACTGGCTCGTCGCGGGCGAAAACGGAAGAAAAAACGAAGACGGCCCCACCCCTGCGCCACCGTTTCTCGCCGGGGCAAGGGGGCAAGGGGGGAAGGGGAAAGGGCTTCGTTGGAGGGCGGGCAAAAACACGCTGTATTTTCTCCCGTCACGACGCCGCCGTCGAGCGCTTGAGCTTGGCCCGGCAGGCTTGCCGCTTCATCGATATGCACGAGGGCTGCGCGACGAGACGGCGATGGAAGAGGTCCGGCGGTACCGCGAGTGCTTCGCGGCGCTGCTCGTCGCGGGCAGTCGGCTGCGCGGGCTAGAGGGCGAGGAGAAGTACGCGTTTGAGCGAAGACGGGCGCGTCGAGCTTCAGCTAGTGCGGGGGGAGCGCACGACGACATTCTATATATTTTTTGGTCCGCACATCATGTACTTCTATAGACTCCGCATCGGGATCGCAAAGCTGGAGGGCTTGATATTTCCGCATTGGCGCAAGTGACGAAGAAGCACGAAATCACCTTGAGTACACAATCGTTAGATCCATACTGGGATGGGCATTTAACCATGTTTCCCTGCACAAGGAGCTTGACACTCGTACAATGCGCCTTCGACATCCCACAAGCGTAGACACCGCGCATCTTGCAGTCCCGTATGACTTACAAGGGTACTCACTTGCACCTTTACCGTGTCGTTGCGCTTCGCTATCACGATACCAGGCCACCGCGACGAAGTAGTGAAATACTGATACGCGATAGTATACAAGACCGGGACGCTTTCGAAACACCCACTCATGGTCGCACCCGGGCACATTGGCGACTGAGGTGATTACGGTGAATACATGAACACGAAACAACGCACCGAACGATTGTTCAAGGACCGCCGGCAGAACACGAGCTTGAGGTAGCGCCTTGGGCAAGGGACAGACTGAAGTGTCCTATGCGCGATAATTCTTTCCTGTAGAATTGCAATCATACGTCAGCCGCAGGAAAAGGTATGGAAATACCGATCACTCGCCTGACATCTCGGATGCATGAGCACAAAGATCATGGTGTATCTGCAACGTGAGATCGTCAGCGAGAAAGTGAGAAGAGAAAATATGAGTGCTCACCTGTATGCTAGGACGGATAGAGAGATCCAGAAGACGCGAGGGTCCAAAAACAGCCGTTGGCTTCCCCCGAAGGGTACTAATCCCCCAGGCCACGAAGAGGCCGGCTGCCGGATCGCCAGCGGCGGCTGGCGATCCTATTCTGGGAGACCTTGAACTTGAAGACCAGCGACCAGGGGACCAGCGACCAGGGGACCAGATGAGGGCAGCTGAAAAGCTAAGAAGCGAAAAAGCGTCAGAAGGGTCAGCGAGTAAACCAATGTCCGTGCCACGACCATCTATCTACGTCTATCTACAAGCTATCTGCGCCACTATCCCCAATCCGAATCCGAATCCAGCCAGCCTCTTTTTTCGGTTTTGATATTTTCTGTTTTTTTTCGGGTTATCTTCAAGTTACGCAGTCGCACGGACATCCCATCGAGCGGCGTCCCGAACTCGACCTGCAAAAAAAAGTGTTCGAATGAGCGAGGGTTGGTAACATCGAGTCGAAACAAGAAAACATACCGATTGTCCCGTACTGCATGCCGGCGCACCGACTCGGCCAAGATGCGTTACTGAACGAGCGTCCGGGCGATCGCGGCGTCCCGCTCTCGACCCAGGCAACCCGAACACCAACTCCGTCCCTCGTCTTCGCCCTCGAGAGAAACCCCGCCCGTGGCCAGGGAGCATCTGGAAAGAAACGCACGACGACGCCCAAGAGCATCCCCGGCGCCCTCCCCCTTCCGCGTCCGCCGCGCCGGTCGTCGTGCGAGGCCCCTCGAGCGAGCGAGATTCGGGCTCCAACATCCGGCGTCGCCTTCCGTGCTTTCCCGTCGGCGTTAGGAAGATCGGGGGTCGTGTCACCTCCTCCAGGGCCGACGCCGCCGACGACGTCGACCCCTTCAGGCACGTAGAGGTGCACTATGCCTGTGGGACTCGCGCTCCAGTCCCAGAAACCATCGGGCAGCGTGCCCGAGGCCTCGCGAAGCCGACCTCAGTCGAAGCCGGCCTCCGCCAGGGCTTGAAAGACGAAAGTATAGTACTCGCCCTGCAGAGTCTGGTCAGCACGCGCAAAGACGGGCTGGTGACGCGAGCGGACGTACCCCGTATCTTGCCGCATAGGCTTCCGCGATCTGCCAAGGGTCCAAGCGAGCCCCGGTACCGATGAGGGCCTGCAGCTGGGCAAGGACGGTAGCCTCATCAGGTCCTAGGGTCTTCCCTGCGTGGAGACCTCCGTTAGCCCCGCGTGCGAGGGAGATCGTAGCGCAAGAGCGGACGTACTGGTACCCCGGAGTTTCATCGCCATTCCCCGAAGCCTCCGTGTGGACGATGAAAGCTTCGGGAACGTCGGCATCCTGAGCCTGAAAGCGGAGAGCTCAGGAGCGCGCGTGTGGGCCCGCCGAGCCTCTGCTCGACGGGCGAGCGCCTCCTTCTCCCTGCGCAGCTCGAGGACGTCGATGCCTTGGAGACGGTGGATGTCGCGGAGTTGGTTGAATCGGCATTCGGCTTCCTCGAGGTCTTCGGCGTCGCCGTCGATGGTGTCCTCCATGAGAGCGATGACCCGGCGGAGGGCATTGGCCTCGAGGCGAAGAGCGGTTCGAATGTCGAGAGGAAGAGCGTCTTGATTCCATCGGAGGACGATGTAGTTGGAATAGAAGACGGTGTACTGGCGGAGCATGTCGGTAGGGTAGTCGGAGATCATTCTAGATTATAGGTGAGTGGTAGTATGGGGAGTGCGGGTGGGAAGGAGATAGGTAGTAGATAGGGAGGTGTGTGTAGGAAGGGGTGGTAGATAGGGGTGTGCGTGTAGGAAGGGGATGGGTGGTTAGATGAGCGGTGGATTGGGAGGTGCGTGTAGTAAGGAGATGGGTGGTAGATGGGTGGTAGATTGGGATGTGCGTGTAGGATTGGAATATGCGTGTAGAATTGGGATGTGCGTATAGGATTAGGAGACGACGATGGTTGGAACTAGAATGCTGAAGATCACTACGAGCAGAACACTGGGTTTTTATACATCTGGAGGGCGGAAGAGAGGAAAGGGCGGATATACACCTCGTCCCGACGCGGGACGCTGACCGCGCGCGGCGACGGGACGAGGTGGATGTGGACGCGGAAGGAGAGGATGAGGCGCGTCCCCGCGCCGCGGACCAGCCTTTCCGCTCGTCTACGTGAACAGACTTTCGTCACGCTTTCATGCTGCCACAGCTGCTTTCTGATATCGTATCGAGGGGGTCAAAGGTCTCGCACCTAACGATGCACACTAATGTTGTGCGAGTAATCCTGCCGCTCGTGTCTGCCATCATCATGAAATATTCATCTTTAGGCACCTGTTTGGGTACTTATCTAGGCTTCACTCGCAAGCCGTCTCGATACTCTCCAACGTCCTCAAACGCATCAACTGCCTTTCGCCTATATCACTATTGATGCCTGCGGTCCCGAAGACGCTGCAAGCTTACGCATTTCTGGCTTGTGTTTGTGCTTCCG